AAAGCCATTTGTGAAATATATGTAAAACATAACAGTTTAAAGACCTATTTCACAAATATGTGTTACGTGATTTGCCTGTTCAAATGGTTATCAGTTGTAATAATCAGTATTAAAAGCATATGGAATATGAAACACACATTTGAAAATATGTTTTAAGTACAAGAATTCACTTGTACTTTGCTTGTGTTCCCCCTGAAAACAGTGAAAACATTGAAAAAGGGTAGGGGTATGAACTCACCGGACTCGGAAATGCGTCGGTTTTGGATACTAGACGTTGGTTCGGGGTTTGATTACTCGCGATGTCCCTATGTAAAATGAAATAATGTCCATAGATATTCAATTAGGGATACATTCACTAATCATATGGAACATTACACTCCAATGAGGTTAAACACCTCAAAACGAGCGTTTAGAGTGACCCGGGTGACATCTTCGGACGTGTAATGGCACTAGGGGCTTGGGACTTGAGTTTACTCCCCAAGAGTAAACATTTTAAGGAGTTTACAGCCACAAACCACACACACACATGACTTTACGGCCATAAACTCATGTTGGTGTCATTTGGAGTTTTTAATGGCTTGTTTGGACATGGGGATTGTTGGAATGGATTTCTAAAATGCCTTGGAATGGATTGAATGGAATTATATCATTTAAAAGGGAGTTTACGGCCGTAAATTCACCTATGGCCAAGAAAAATTGTTTTAAGCTACAAAGGACAATCACATGTGATTCTAACTAATTTTCTAAGGCTTGGTATGAATTTAGAACACCATTAAACATATTTTTAGGAGTTTACGGCCTAGAGGCATGTTCTATGGCCGTAAACTCTCCTATACTCATGAAAAATTAGTTTTTGATGCTTAAAACAATCACATGTGACTCTAGGAATTTATCCAAGCCTTTGGGGTGGTCTAAGGACATTTTTGGCATGTCTTTATGAGTTTACGGTCAAGGGTATGTTCCTAGGCCGTAAAATCCTATATGTGGTACTTTTGAAGTGTTACAAATCCCCAAACTATTTTTAGAAGGATCTAGGATTTACCACAAGGCCATTGGTTGAGTTTCAAGGCATTTGGACATGTTTAAAGGCACTAAATCCCCATTTTAGAGGAGTTTACGACCCAAGAAGGAGTCTTGGCCGTAAACTCTCTTTTGTCCCATATAATTCATGTTTAAAGTGTTCCAAGTCCAAATTGGTAAGCCTTAAGGTCATATCTAAGTCCCAACTATGATTTGGAAGGGTAATTTGGCTCAAAAACTCCATTTTTGAGGAGTTTACGGCCCAAGCTTGATCCTTGGCCGTAAACTCATGTTCTTGGTCTCAAAACTTAATTTAAACATCAATTTGAAGGCTAAAGAGGTTGGATAACAAGTTAGGGGTGTTACCTCTTTGATTGGAAGCCTTAAATCTTTGTTTTGGACCTTTGATTATGGATGAGGAGAGAGGTTGGGAGAGTTTTATGTGAAAATGGCCAAAGGCTTCAAATGGAGGCTAAAGACACATTATATAGTGTCTAAGTTTTGGACACGGTGGAATTCTACCCGATACCGGCGTTAGACGAGGCTTTTGGTCGTACCCACTTAGGTTGCCGTAACCCGATACGGTAATTTCTAGAAATATTCTGATCACTACAGAGGGGTGTTAAAATGATTTCTAAATGTATTAAGACACCCATTAAGTCATTTTAGATACTTAACAGTTAATGACTTAATTAAACGGAAGATCGGAAATCGAATTTGGAAACGACGATTGGTTGCGTGAATTGTACTACGAAAGAGTTACAAGAGATGATACAAAAATTTCGGGTTGTTACACCGATTAAATCACATCTCCACTTAATGGAATCTTTTCTTAATATCACCCTATTTTGTGAATTATAGAAGAAAATGAACTTGAAATTTTTATGAAAAACTTTTATAAATTTTTGGAAAATCCCTAGTTGAAATAGGTGGTAATGGATTCTTTTAAATTCGATGTTTCTTTTTCTTTTTGCCTGAGATGTCTAATGATATGCTAGTTACTGAAAAATCAAATTTTGTTTAACCAAAAATCTATGCAGCAGATTGTATGTGGATAACATAAATTTTCCTGTGTTTGGACGCTTCAGTTGTTGGATATATGCCTTGTGAAACGTCAATCTAGTGAGAATTATATATTAGCCTTCTAGTTTCTGCACAAACCATAATCTACACTAAATTTGGAAAAGTTAAGAGACCTAAATCATTACATTTGAAAATATAGTATATTTATCTTGTATCTCAAATTAGCTAATTAGGTGATAAAGCTCAAAGAATATAAGTATCACTTGATCTTTATTGCTTTAATATATAAAGTAGATATACATAATCATACAATCAAGACTTTTTCGGTCTACTCTTTTGATTCTACATTCTCTGACTTCCTCTCCCTCCATCACTCTTTATATGTGTATGTGTGTGTGTGTATATATATATATATATATATATATATATATATATATATATATATATATATATATATATATATTGAGACAACCTGAAAAATTATAAAGCAAACTAGGTCTAAACTTCAACCATGTACCAGTAAATTTACAAACACACTTGATGCAATGGAACTTTCAAAAACCAAGAGATCATGCTGATACAAGTTCATATATATATATATATATATATATATATATATATATATATATATATATATATATATATATATATATATATATATATATATATATAGACACACTTTTGAAAGCCCAGCAGGAATAAACGATTGAAAGGCAAATGAAGTCAACAAAGGCATAAGGACTTAAAGGAGTCAACATGAGCCCAAACAATAAGTCTATATGCATGTTATTGTATATTACTTTAAGGATTTCAACTTTCAGAACGTAGGAACACTACAGAAACGAAATCAACATCTTAAAAACCCATCATGACATATATCTCTTTCTTTTGGGGTGCTATAGCCGCAAACTCCTTCCTACATTTACTCTTGGACAGTAAACCTTTTTCTCTTTGACTCTTAGACATTAAACTCTTTACTATTTGAATTTAAGGATTGAAATATAATTGTGAAGGCCCATTAAGGCCATAAACCATCAATGGTTGACCCCAAATTAACTTCTTTAGGCCACATGCAACATCCTTGTGGCTGTAAACACCCTCCAAATATCTAGATATTTTAGCCACTTGATCTTTGAATTGTTTTCCCAATACGATAATGGAAACCTTATCTCATTCACGCCATATAATACATGATTTAGGATCCATTTACACTTCCAGTAAACACCTTTCTACAATTCTCTCTCAAAATACCAAAGCATTTCTTTGTATTTGAAAATCAAGCAACTCCAGTAGCCCATCTTTCTTCTATCATAGTTATAATATTTGTTAAGTATTCTTCACTTGTTTTATGGTTATACAACACATAAGTTCTTATTTCATCAAATATACACACATTAATATGTGTATAAACCCATTAGGATTAAGCCATGCTTCCCATATTCTAGCCCGAAGGACACCATTTTATCTCGTTATCTAAACCACGACCACACACAAGGTGAGTTCTTACCCCTACACTTTTTTATAACTTTTTCTAGGTTTTATGCGGGATAATACAAGTGAAACACAAGGAAACTTGTGTGAATATACAAACCATTACGTATGTTTTTCTTATCTTTTATATGCATTTTACTTAAATAGAAACAACGTTATTACTAAATTTGCAAGTATTTACATGCAAAATATGTTAAAACACAATTGTTATCATTTTGAACAAAATATATATTTTAAACTATAATAGGTATAGTTCTAGAATCATTCACATTATTTTACTCTTTCGGGAAAAGAAACGATTATATAAAAATACGATTATTTTTATATTTTATATACATAAAAAAGGGTGTGAGTCAATGTCTTCGTCGTACCTACCAAGGTATACAAGAAAGTCTTGTGTTATTACCGGAGCCTCTTTCCAGAGAGCGTGATAATTGTCTATACATCTCTACGGGATTGATGACCTCACACCCTGGCTAATAGCTACAACCAAACCAGTAGGTTATGGGTGACAAATATCAAATATTTCGACGTCTAAAGAACATCCACTACTAGAAAAATAGCCTTTTACGACATGCAATTAATGACACACACTGATAGAGGGCGCGCATTTGTGCGTGCTCTAAAAATTAATGTCAGTTTTCCAAAATTTGAAGGATAGAGAACATGCATTTTTGCGTGCCCTAAAATTAGTGTTAGAAAAAAAATTATGGAAGGCACCTATAAAAAAAGGTGCGTCGTGTAACTGTGTCGCTTTATATTTTTTAAAGAAACACGCGTTTTTAGGGGGAAAAACGAAATCCAAAAAATTAACCCCCGCCTATTCATCCCAAAAATTCCCCGCCTCTTCGAATTAGGGCATTTGTCTTCATCCACAACTTCCTCAATTCCTCGATCCATCACCTCCACCAAAAACCTAATTCACGGTTCCAACAAGTTCTTACGCTCTTAATTTGACCATAATGAGCTAAGGATTTAGGGTTCTTACCTCCTAGTTATCAATTTGAGCCGATGATTTAGGGTTCCTAAATCCGACCCTAATTTTTTCTCACTCTCGTATTTCCATCTCATTCCTTTCCTTCTTCTCCTTCTACAATCGTATAGCAATGAACCCTAATAGAATTGTGAGGTTGTCAATCCTTTTGAAGCATCCGTCTTCCTCTACCTCTGCACTCTCTATGCCTTCCCTTTAGAAGCCCTAACCGCCACCACCAGCATCGCCTCTCTAATTTCCCTTATTGTCTCTCTATTCTGTTATCCAATATCTCCACTTCCTAACACACCTTCGTCTCCACCCTACATCCACTTCCACCATCTCCAACCCTCACATATTCAACTCTCACTCTCAATCTCTCTTAAATCTTAATCTTTCTAGGTTTTCGAGAAAAGCTTTTTTCTATAATTGGAGTTAAGGTGTATGCCATAGAGCTATACATAGATCATAAAATTATGGATAAATTAGAAACATGGAAAGGATGAACAACATCTCAGATCCAAGACGATTCTTCTGTATTCGACTTAATTTGTCAAGGTAAATATCAATTTTCTTATGTGAACTTTTGCGAAAATTGCTGCAGATCATTGAAGAAAGGAACGACCATTGAAGAAAGGAACCTTCATCTTCTTAACCTGGCTTGATTCCTCCAAAATTATGGTTCATTTATACTTTTATTTGAAGGAAAATCACTAACATGGGTTTACTTGATTACTCTATTCAAAGAAACGGAGCATCTTCTTTTGATTTTTTTTAGCCGAGTTAATCTATTCTGAAGATTTTGTTACTTTTTTATGGTTTTTCTATTCCTTCTGCTTCCTGATTTAGTGAAAGTCGCTTGAAATTGATATATATACCATCTTCACTTGCCTTCTAGATCAAGTAATATGCATATAACATTGTGTCAATTTTAATTTCAGTTCTTACAATGCTGATTTTGATGGAGATGAAATGAATGTTCATTTACCACAAGATGAAATTTCACGTTCTGAAGCTTATAACATTGTGAATGCAAATAATCAGTATATAGTTCCAGCAAGGGGAGATACTGTTTGAGGCTTAATCGAAGATCATATTGTCAGTTCTGTTCTTATCACAATGCAAGATACATTTTTAAACAGTGAACAGTTCAATCAACTTCTTTATGCTTCTGGTGTTTTTAATGGAGGTAATTCAAGACATGGTAAAAATTCATCTACCGATAAAGGCTGCTTTGTGAAGCCTGTTCTTCCAGCTGTCTGGAACCAAAGCCTCTTTGGATAGGAAAACAGGTCATAAATTTTATATATACAAGTATAATGACTCTATTCACTTTCAAACATGTGTAAATCTTGAAATTTTTAAATCTTTTTTTTGTGTATTGTCGGTGATTACAGCGTTATTAAATCATCTGACTAGAGGTTATACGCCTTGTATTGTTCATAACAAGGTGAAGATCCCATAACAGTATTTTCAAAGAAAATAGGATAAGAATAAAAAAAATATAAAACGAAAGAAAGAGGTTGTGGAATTATGTTTTGTGGTGCAGGTGATTCAGTATACAACAGAAGGGCTTGAAAGAGCTTTGTGGTTGGTTCTAAGTTTTAACCTAACTTGATAGTTGGATTCTCAAGACTGGTTATCTATCTCCAAGTAACGAGGCAGGAAGATTCTTAACAGCGGAACCTTACGAATAGCACAAGAATGGCCTAAGTGAAGATGGTCATATTAACCACTTGTATCATATAAAAGCAGCTTATAATGCAAATGGAAAGAAGCTTGTTTGATGTCCTTTAGAGGAAAAATAATTTAACATCAGGAGCAGTGTCATGGACCCTAATGTTGTTTATTAATAATTTTTATTAGCACAAAACATTTCCTTTAATTTATTATTCAAGTTCACTTTAAGCAACTCCTGAGATGAAGGGTAATTATTATTTAATTAACAACATTTCCTTGTATTCTTTTAACTTATTTTCATTATGTTATAATTATTACTATTTTTTATTTAAGACATATAAGTGGAGTGGCTAATTAGAACCCTTTGGCAGAGTCACGCATGACTCTTTAACCTTTGCATAGTTGTTCTAGTTGAAGTTAATGGGAGACTCATCATTGAGAATCTGACGAAGGTAAAACTTATGAAATATTATTAAAAAATTTTCTTAATAAATCATTTATATTGCTGGTGATAACATAACCCAAATTTAATTTTGTAGTATGGATTATTGATAAATTCCAAATTTTGGTTCAGTTCCAGATCATTGAGAGATTGGCTACTTCTTATGTGCTGGTAAAATATTCTTACAAGCTTTCTTTCTGACTCATTTTTATAAAATTTTAGAGCCACACAAGAAATAGTTACTTCATTTTATAGAAAAAAAAAAGATAATGTAAAAATTTCTAAGTTCTCATGCAGCCTCACTCTTCCAATCTTCCCGCTTACTGCCTATATTGTTGAAAAATTGGCATGGCAAAAACGTATTTCAGACCCTGTAAGTAAATTATTCCATAAGGCTAAAATATATTTAAATGTATAAAATGTATTTTAATCTGATTAGTTCTGTAATTTGTAGGTTATAATCACTTTCCATATTCTAACAACAACAACTGCAATTCTATATCCAGTTTTCATGATTCTGAGGTCAGCTTGTTTATACCATTAGATGCTTTGTACAAATTCATTATTGTTTTTAAAGTCATTTGAAAAAGAAAAATGATATGAGAACATTCCACAATATATTATTATTATTATTATTATTATTATTATTACTATCATGTGATTTTATAAAGCTATGCAGGTTTGACTCGGTTGTTCTATCAGGCGTATCACTGATGCTTTGGCCAAATATTAATGCCATGAACAACTGACTGATTCCAAGGTACGTGTTAACACTAGCATAGCAGGCATTCCCCATGAGATTTTTATTTTCCCTGAAAAAAATTCAAATTGAGTTCATAGTCAAAGATAAATGGGAAGGTAAGCCGGGTAGGGTTTGGGTCAAAGTGGGTCGAACAATTTTTAGTAATTCATAAAATACAAATTAAAACTTTGGCTTTGCCAAAAGCCATTTTCCTACATTTCTTTATTTGTCTCATTTTGGGAGTTGAATATGCCAATTATGGTATTTCAAAAATAACAATATATATTATCAAAAGTGACCTGATGTCATTTTTCAACACTTAATGCATTTCAGTTTTTTAAGTATTTTAATTCTAGTTGTGTGTGAAAACTATATTCACGTAACATAGCTAGAAGCAAAATTCCTTACATATTTATATATTCAATATAACAATATACTTTGAAAGGTCCTTGTTAACAATACAATATTACATAAATGGTCGATGTCTAATAAAATTCAGAAAAGTGGTCCAGGTTTAACTTAAATTAAATATTAAGCGTGATTGAAAATTTACCTTTTTAACCTTGTAAAATGAAACCCACATTTTATGTTCCTGATAACAAAGTAAAATTCTGGCTTGATTCCTCCAAAATTCTGGTTCGTTTATACTTTTATTTGAAGGAAAATCACTAACATGGATTTACTTGATTACTTCTCCTATTCAAAGAAACCGAGCATCTTCTTCTGATTTTTTTTTCCGGTTTTTCTATTCCTTCTTCTTCCTGATTAAGTAAAAGTCGCTTGAAATTGAAGCTTCAGAGAATGATATATATATATATATATATATATATATATATATATATATATATATATATATATATATATATATATACCTTTAAGTACAGGGATATCATTTGGTAAGCTAAACTCTATTTTTGCTAATTGTGTTTTCCTTTATTCCTAGGTGAAATATAACTAAAGAAGTAATTCGTTTTAGGAAATTTTGACTTGTGTTTCTAGGTTGGTTGTCACAATAAAAAAAAAAGGAATATGATAACTAGATGATTAAAATTAGGATAGTTAAGTAATTCAACATCTGTCTTATTATTAGTTTTCCTTCATGAAATATCATTCTAATTAGTTGTTCAACTTATTTTTGATTAAAAACTCTTGTTTTACCAACAAGAAACAAAGTAATCGAAGCATCACTAGCAGATGCAATTTCACAAGGCATGGAAGCCAAAGCTGCTGCAAAACAAGCCCAAAAAGATGGAGCCAAAGCTGCAAAAATGGCACCCCGGAAAGCTAAACGGATCATTGGCCCGATTATTTCTTCTGGGTGGGATTTCTTTGAAGCCATTTATTATGGAGGAACTGTAACTGAAGGGTTTCTTAAGGGTACAGGAACATTCTCTAGGACTTATTTTGCTGGGTATTTAAGGGAAGAAAGGTATGGGCGTTTTGGGTATTTGGTTGGAAGTGAATATTGAAGTTGGATTGGTGGAAGGATTGGGCTTATGGTTTATGATATTGCTAATGGTGTTTATTTATTGCTTGGGATTGGTCAATTTGAGGAGAATGTTTGTATAATACTCATACAGGTTATACACCTGACCAGATCTTCCCGACTAGTTTGTGTAATTTTTCAAAATTATGGTTGGTGGATTGAGCTGACAGATATTTATTTACTAACTTACACAGGGGAATTGTCAAGGAACACAACTTATCCTAGTGCCAACTTCAGCCATGATCAACGTTCAGAACCTCAATCAAGAAACCATCAAGATGGATTGAGTGTGGCAACTACTGGCACTATTTCAGCAGCAAGATATGCAGGTTAATATAGTAGTAGCTATCAGCAGCAGCAGCTAAATCTATCATACCCTCAACAGCAGCCAAATGTGTCAAGTCAAATGTATGTTCAACCTAGTCAAACATATGTTCAGCCAACAGGAGCCTATCAAAGTACATGTGCTCCTCATCAACCTATTTCCTCATTTCAGAATACAGGGTCCTATCCTGGGCCTGCAATTTATTCAACAACTTATTACAATCCTGGTGATTATCAGACATCTGGTGGTTACCCAATTGCAAATTAGAATACTCAGACAAATTCATGGAGTCAAGGTAGCCATCCAAGTTACGCTCATCAATATCCAAATTACACTACTGATTCTAATGTTGCTATAAGAAATCTGGTGAGTAACTTATTTGTTTTATTATTTTTCACTTTTGAATTTGCATTTATTTATTTATTTTGCAGCACTTACAACAACAACCTTAGCAAAATCAATGGTTGCTAGGCAAGGTCCTATAGCTATGGCTGCTCATCAGATATGTTTGCAAGTTTGGTTGGCTGTTTCTCTGATTACAGATGTATTGGCAGCATCTGGTAAGGTATAAATTGACCAAATGTTGACTTAACAAATAGTTTAAGGAAAATGTTTGACTATTTGTCAGATAGTTGACTTAACCCTTTTTTTTGTTTTGTTTTAGGTGTTGATTGCTAGTTCGGTTTCAGAAGGGGATTATAGATCCGTGAAGGATATCACATACTTCGTGTTGACTGTAATGTTAATTAATAATTATTCTCTTTATATATAGATGCAAACAGTCATACATAAAGTTTCTTTGAGGTTCTCTCCACTATACCACCTTGTCAAATTCAGGATAAAAGAATCTTGTGGTTTTCACTTTTGACAAAGCATCTAAAAGTAAAACCACCACAAACCATTTCATCTGCAGGAGGATTTTGATGAGCTTGAGGATGTTGATATGTTATACAACACCTTATCACTAGACAAACTAGAAGCTCTAGAAGATCTTGTTATCATGCAGCCCTTGGTCATGTGTTTGTATTCACTGGTCATGTGTTTGGGTGAAGGTTTGGATGGTCGTCTGAATGGTGCATGCACCAAAGCCTACAAATGGATTTTGGATCATGGCAGTGTCACCACCATCCCATCATGGGGCAAAACATGGCATTCTGTAATACATCAACTTTTTCTTTTTTCCTTTTTTCGTTTTTGTGAGTGTATTATATAGAATATATGCTTTAGTTTATATTTGAAAAAAACTTAGAAAAATTTATTTGTTTTTAGATGCTTGGTGTGTGCGGGTGGGAAGGAACCAACCCAATGGCCTCAGAGTTTTGGCACCTTCCATCTTTACTTCCTATGTATCCAGGTTAATCTACTCGTATTCTTTTCTCAAAGTGTGTATTCTAATATCAGGTATCATGATTTGTGTATTTACAAAATTTTGAAATAGGGTCTTGTTCAATGCTTTAGCTGTGTTTGATCTAAGGGAGATCAACTTATCATAAGTAAGTTATTTTTTTCACCCTGTTATTTAATATTTTTGTGATTGAATGAATGTCTTAATGAAAGTAATTGACAACCCTTTTTCTGTAAATGATGTTGTGATTGTGGGAGAGGTGTTGTATTTTTCTCTGTTGCTAGGTAACCTTCTCAACAATAGCATTCTACTTAAGCAGGTGAGTAATCAAGATTAAGGGAGACTTGTAATCATGTTTGGCATTCCTTTCCAGTAAGAAACAGAGTTGTATGATTATTTGTTAGTTTTATAGGAATGTATAACCCATGTTAGCAATGTATTATTTTTGTTTAACATTTGAATGATTCTTTATATGACATTATGATTTGTGCAATTTATTTTATTTTTTGAGTACGCAATTTTATTTTATATTATTTAATGGATTGTATTTTTTGTATATGGTATTTTATTTATATTATGAGAAATTAAATGCAAATTTAATTTAAAACTTAATAAATATATAAATTTTTTTTAAAACATTTAAATTTACGATATGCAAAAATGTGTGTCATCTTCATTTATGACATGGCCTTTCTTGATACGGGCTTTCTTGATGCGCATTGCGTGTCATTAATACGCACGTCGTAAGGTTACGACACACGAATGCATGTCGTCTTCCTTTATGATAGGGCCTTCCTTGATACGCGTTGTGTGTCGTAAACGCGCGTCGTAATTGCGCGTCGTAAATGAGCGTCGTAAATGTGCGTCGTCTCTCTTTATGACAGGGCCTTCCTTGACGCGCATTTGCGCGTCGTCTGAGCCTTTTACGACACGCAATGGGCATCGTAAAAGGCTGTTTTTCTAGTAGTGATCGGGCAGACAAATCATTCGCTAGCACGATTAAGAAAACTCACATAGGGAAAACGACTATACATTATTTTGACGCAAAAACACATCTCTTCAAAGGGTTTTATGAACAAATAAAACTATATAAGATTAATTTAAGTATGATAATATACTTACACTTTTCGGTCTTGGAACAATTAAGGCTAGAATACATTTCTAACGAAAAAATAGGATTTTCCTAGATAAACACCAATACTTTTTAAGAAAACAGTTTACAGTTCAGCTTTATGGAAACAAATACGATTACTTAAATCTTGGATAGGACCCTCATTTGTTGATTCTATGCTTCTTTAGTTTATATATCAGGGTTATATATCATGGCTTTTATGCAAATCATCAATCCTATGGTGCACATGCAAAACCCTAAAGCTTTGAATATAGGTTTGTCTAATTGTACATAAAAATTAACCAAATATTAAAAACCCTAATTCTAGTATATGAAAAATGAAAATACTATCTAAACAAGTTTAGATGATTACCGTTCAAGAGTAGGAAGAATCCTCAATCTTCAAGAGCTTAATATCATAAGTGTAATACCTCTTATGACTCACAAACACCAAGGCAAGAAGGATAATCTTGGAGAGAGGAGATGGAAGCACAAAATAGGATCTAAGACTCTAGGGTTCAAGTGGTAGCCGATTTTGGATAACCTAGGGTCCCTTTTACAGGTCTGCTGTTAGGGTTTCAGTCAAAACCCTAATTAGATAACTTAGGCCTTAAGTAGTCCGATGGAACCTTCTGGAATAAGGCCTTGTACAATTTCATGGTGGGCTTCCACCCTAATTTCGTCCACCCCTTGATACGTAGGGATCCACAACACAAAATCCAATTATCTTATAATTGCAATTCCAGTCCCCTAAGTTTAATTAATATCTTTTCATCACAAAATTAATTCTTAATTAATTCTTGACCAATATTAGTTTAACTAATATGATTTCTATTTTAATATATTATTCTTATAATATATTAATAATCCATATTATCCTATTTCTCCAATAATCATCCAGTCAAGTTGCTTTGGTGAAGGCAACCCAAAAGGATCATGCTTATAATCAGGTAAAGTGCATACCAAATATATTATAGGCTTAGACACCTAATCCAATAGTCTCATACTTGTATAAGTTTAATAACTATAATTACAAGTACGGCTTCAGGATCTAATTAGAAATTGTAGCTCTCAAAGGCCTCTATCAACTCTAACCCAGTCAAATGGCATATACTTTAGCTAACGGATCGTATCGTCCTGCATTCTCAAGATATCGTGTGGACAATCACATGGAACATAGTCATACTTATTGTCCATCATTTTGTGTCACGATCTCTGATTTTTCTGACATAGAACTTAATTGAACACATCAACTTAGTCCTGACTGCGCCCGACACATAAGTCAAACCAAATCATTGAGGGGGCCAAGATATCGCTATTGTCCTTGTGGACCAAAAGGAACAGATAAACTTCGACTCGTATGTTTGTAGTATTTGTTCATGAAATCGTACATAACAATATGTTTTATAACATCAAGTTACTGATGCGTTTACGCATTATCAATGCACATCCAACTCGCAAACAACAACTAATATGTATAGGTTTAAAAACTAAGTGATATTATTGTCTTACAATCACTCGTGATTAATTCCATGAAGTGATTCAGGTAAGCCTAGGTTTAATCTAATACTCAAATCTTATTTTATAAGCACTCATGAACATTGTAACAAACTTTTGCTATGTCTAAACACTTTAAACAGTCTACAAGCCAATTCATGACAATCTTCTTTCATACCTACTTCTAATGTATCATCTACTATGGATGGTTCGAATAATCTTATTATTTAGGAAGTCAAAACATGCAAAGTGAAACAATAGTAAATAATTAACACAAGACAATAACTTTACTTATAAATAAAACACTGTTTATTTAATCATCAAATGTTGATTACAATTTACCTATTACAAGTTTCTAAAATCTATCTAATCAAAAAAACTAATCTCCTCCTTCAACCCAATGCTCCTAGCGTGCTACAAGTGCTTAATGCTACTTAGTCCCTTCGTAAAGGGATCATTTGGGTTATCTTCTGACGATACCCTCTTCACAACGAGGAGTCCCTCTTCTATGTGATGTCTAATAAAGTGATATTTCCTTTTGATATTCCTACATCTTCCATGATCTCTCGGTTCCTTGGTTAAGGCAAACACACCTTTATTATCGCAGAAAATCTACATAGGCTCCTTTATGTCAGGTACAACTCCAAGGTCTTCGAAGAAGTTCTTCAGCCATTTTTCCTCTTTTGTCACTTCACTCACTACTATGTACTCTGATTCGCACGTTGAATCAGCAACAATTTGCTGCTTGGAAATATTCCAAGTCACTGCTCCTCCATTAAGAGTAAAGACTCAGCCTAACTGAGATCGGTAATTATCTCGGACTGTCTAAAAACTGGCATCACTATACCGTCGTACTCTAAAGTCATCACTCCCACCGAGAAGTAGAAACCATTCCATGGTGCTTCGTATGTACTTAATAGTATTCTTGACTACAATCCAATGGGCTCTACCAGGGTTCGCTTAATATCTAATGACCATGATCAAGGAAAATGCCGCATCAGGTCAATTATAAGTCATAGCATACATGATAGAACCAAGTAAGTACTTTGACTAAGTCCTATTAGTCTCTTACTCGTTTTTCTCACTATCCTTATGCCCAAGATATAGGCAGCTTCTCCGACATGCTTCATAGTGAAGCACTTCCCAAGCTAGGACATGACCTCCTGTATGGTTTGGATGTCGTTGCCTATGAGCAATATGTCATCAACATACAACACGAGAAAGCTAACTATGCTCCCACTAGCTTTGACATATATGCATGACTTATCCTCACAAACTATTTGACATTCTTATGGAAACAAAGATTCCATCTGCGAGATGCTAGTTTCAATCTATAAATGGACTTCTTAAGCTTGCACAATCTATTAGGATGCTTCACATTGACAAAACCCTCTGGATAGCTCATGTAAACATCCTCAGCCAACTTCCCATTAAGGAGAGCGGTTTTGGCATCCATCTCCCATATTTCATAGTCATGAAACGCAGATATGGCTAGCATCAATCTAATAGACTTTATCTTTGCAACTAGTGAGAATGTCTCATTATACTGAACTCCAAGGGTTTGAGTAAAGCCCTTCGCAATCAATCGCGCCTTATATGTATGCACTTTCCCATCCACTTCGGTCTTCATCTTGAAGATCCACTTGCACCTGACTATCTTATGACCTAGTACGTTGTCAACCATGTTCCAAACTTGATTGTTGAACATGGACCGAATCTCGCTCTCCATTGCCTGTTTCTATTTTGCTGACTCCAGGGCTGACATGAATTCCTTGCAGTTGTTAGGTTTATCCATGTTTACTAGTGCACTATCACTAATAAACATATCACCTTTAGTCGTAATATGGAATCCATAAAACTCAGGTGGATAACTAACTCTACTAGAAAGTCTAAAAGGTAAGGACTCGTCAACTGGCTCAACATGAGTTTCCTCCTCAAGTTGATCGCTAGTGTTGGAGGTTCCTTAATTGATTGACTCTTGAAGCTCTTCAAGATCAACTTGCCTACTAGTGTCCACTTAGCATATGATCTCGTTCTCACGAAAGACTCCTCTACTTGCAACGAAGACAATATTTTCACTCAGTCCATAAAAGAGATAGCCAAAGGACTTCTATGGATAGCCGATGAAAATACACCGCTCACTATAAGGTTCGATCTTGTCGTGAGTTTCTCGGCTTACAAAAGCCTCGCAATACTAAACCTTGATATGTGCCAATGAGGGAGCTTTCCATGTCCACATCTTATGAGGTGCTTTTGCATTCTTCTTCGTATGGAATAGATTAAGGATATGGGCGACAGTATCTAAGCCATACCCCCAAGTTGAGATAGGTTGTGAAGCACCACTCATCATGTAATGAACCATGTCTAACAATGTCCGATTGTGCCTCTTAACCACACCATTAAGTTATGGTGTCCTAGGTGGCATCAATTGTGAAACTATTCCACATTCCTTTAAATACCTGTGAAAATCGATACTTATATACTCACCATGTCACAACCCAAAACCAGAACGGCGGAAACGTTCTGGGGTGGATGATGTCATGTCAAGTATCACAACATATGCAGTATAGTAATCAAAGTACAACAACCATTGCATTAGTATTAAAAGTTTTACATAGGTTACATTTCATTGGAACATCGAAGTAATATAAGGAATAATATAGATGCAGATCGGTTCTAGGCTGACTTCGCAAAAGCTCCCGGGGTGTACCTGTCTACCACTGACCTGAGAATACAAGCTATTTTGAAAGCGAGTATCAACATTTTATAATGCTGGTGAGTTCATAAGTATTTAGCGTCATTTGTATAGATATGCATTTTTATTCAAAATAACTTTATGTAAGA